AGGAAATTTCTCCTTAGTTCTAGGTTGCTTCCCTCCTTGATTAATTTCCACCCATTGCTTCTTGTCCTACCCTCAGGTGTCAACTCGCAAAGCACTTCCATGCTTGTTAGAGTTGCCATAGACAGAAGGGAGGGGGGAGCAAATTCTACACATACCTTTGGCTATTATCAAAGCAGGCTTGTGAGGCGTGGAATTTTAAAGCCTGCCCAGAGCACCTCATTGGATAATGTGATTTATGACACAGACTGAGGGGAGGGGGGAAACGGGGGCAAAGTTCAGCTGTAATTTATGTGATGTCAGATCTGTCTCTGTTTGGGTAATTGCCGAAACGTTGCTCCTAATAAATGACTGGATTTCTTTTGAAATTTGGCTCAAGGCTCATAAATTAATTAAGGCATCCTTTGGAAACCTGACAGAGAGTCAGATCTCCTTTTAAAATCTATCAAGATTACTGGTTTTTCTGAATCCCAGACTCTCCAATCGTTTCCTGATATCTAGGGTGCCGGGAGAGAAACTCAGGCAACCATTTTGCCCTGGATCTCGTGCAGGCCTTGGTTAGCAGAGAACAGAGGCCTAAAACACTGTAGTGAGATCAATAGTGCTAGATTTCCCACTCCTGATCTTGAGTGTCTCTCACTACTTTAGGCCACTTTTTTCTGCAAATGCACCAAAGTAGGCAAAGGAACCAATTGCTCACCACTTCCTTGCAAGGTACCACATTTTTCGGAACATAAGACACACCCAGAGAAGGAAAACAAGGGAAAAAAATAGTTTTTTGCCTCCATGCATTCTGTTTTTGCCAACCTGGCATCGAGAAGCACTCTGTATGCCAAAAACGGCCTCATTTTTGGCCTCCCAAACCCTCTGCACGTTTTCAGCCTCCCCAATGTCAGGGAGGGCAAAAATGGGAGCCACAGAGCCCTCCGGAGGTGAAAAGCAGGCTCGTTGTTGGCTTGCAGAGTGCTTCTGAACGCCAGGGAGACCAAAAACCAGGGCCGTATTTGCTTATAAGACACACAGACATTTCCACACACTTTTGGGGGGAGGGAGCAAAAGTGCATCTGATAGTCTGAAAAATATGGTAAGACCCGGCAGGATGGGATGGAGGCATAGATAGGGCAAATGTTGCAGCACCTCTGCTGTCATTCGTAAGTTTGAACGACGGTGGTGCAACATTTGTAATTTCAGGACTGAGTTTTAAGTACTTGGGGGAGGGCTGGTTGTAACTTGGAAAGGTTACTTAGTAAACTGTCGTAACTCGGGGATTACCTGTACCCTAGGATGCTCTGAGTCACATTGCATGAGGCCTTCGCCCTTGAATTGGATTTGGAAAATGCTCTTCCATGGGCTGAATGTGAAAGTTCTGTTCTCACACAATATTGGAGGTTCCAGAGGACAAATGACAAGACACTCCTCTCACACGACCCCCAGAGGACACACAAAAGCACATCTTGTTCTTTTCAGCCTCCACAGATAAGTTCAAATAGAAACGGGAAAAATAGAGATAAGAAATGGCAGAGAAAGCATGTAAGCAAAGAGACATCGACTCTTTCCTTCCTTGCAGCAGAACAAGGCCAGATCCTTTCCTTCTCCCTCCCAGGAGACGATATCTGGTCAGTGATATTTAAATAAATAACTAATTATGTATAATCTTTCTTCTTGAACTCTCTGATTGGGAACTAAAATAACTCTTACCCAGAGAGACCAGGTTCCTATGGTTTTCAAGCATGACTTCTGAATGCAGCGCTTTCTGGTCAGGATCCAGCTGAGACCATTCCTCCTCAGAGAAATACACAGCCACCTCCTCGAAGGACACCAGACTCTCCTGAACACGAAAAAAAAAGAACAGAACAGGAGGATTTGCAAGGTCTCTTCATCTTTATCAATGGTTTAGACAAGGGGATAGAAGGGGAACTCTTCAAATTTGCAGACAAGACCACATTGACAGGAATAGCAACACTCCAGAAGATAAGCTCCAGATATAGAAGGGTTGTCAGATTGGGCCCCATCTAATGAAAGGAAATCAACAATGGGAAATGTAAAGCTCTATATTTAGGAAAGAAAAACCAAATGCACAGGCATAGAATAGGTGATACCTGGCTCAACACTACTAAGTGCAACAGGGATCTTGGAGTCCTAGTGGATAAGCACTTAAACATGAGCCAGCAGTAGGCTACTTTTGCCAAACACCTATCCTCCGCGAGCTGCACTGGCTCCCTTTTGGTCTCTGAGCGCGATTCAAGGTGCTGGTCATTACCTTTAAAGCCCTACATGGCCTAGGACCCNCAATAGTCCTAGATTTCCCACTACTGATCTCACATATCTCTCACTACTTTAAGCCACTTTTTTCTGCAAATGCACCAAAGTAGGCAAAGGAACCGACGGCTCGCTATATCGTCACAAGCTAAGTCCCAGCAGGGTGGGAGTACAGGTAGGCTGATAGTTATTGCAACGCCTCTGCTGTCATTTGTAATTGTGAATGACAACCATGGTGCTGTAACATTCGTAATTTCACGACTGTCTTAAGTACTTGGGAGAGGGCTAGGTCATAACTTGGAACGGTTGCTTAGTGAACTGTCATAACTCAGGGATTACCTGTACCTTACAATGCTCTGATTCCACACTGCATGGGGCCTTTGTTCTTGAATTGGATTTGGAAAATGCTCTTCCATTGCCTGAGTGTAAAAGTTCTATTCTCACACAATTTTGGAGGTTTCAGAGGACAAATTACAACACACTCCTCTCACTTGTCCTCCAGAGGACACATAAAACACACCTCATTCTCTTCAGCCCCCACAGATTTTCCTTCTCCCTCCCAGGAGATGATATCTGATTAGTGTTTTTTTTTAATTAAAAAAAAAAACTAACTATAATCTGTCTTCTTGAACTCTCTGATTGGGGATTAGAAAACTCTTACCCAGAGAGACCATGTTCCTATGATTTTCAAGCATGACTTCCGAATGCAGGGCTTTCTGGTCAGGATCCAGCTGAGACCATTCCTCCTCAGAAAAATACACAGCCACCTCTTCGAAGGACACAAGACTCTCCTGAACAAAGAAAAAAAGAACAGAACGGGAGGATTCGCAAGATCTGTCCAACTTCATCAATGATTTAGGCAAGGGGATAGAAAGGGAACTCCTCAAAATTCAAGACAAGACCAAATTGACAGGGATAACAACACTATAGAAGATAAGCTTGAGATATAGAAGGATCGACAAATTGGGCTCCATCTAATGAAACAAAATCAACTGTGAGAAATGTAAGGCTTTACATTTAGGAAAGAAAAACCAAATGCGCAGGCATAGAATAGGTGATACCTGGCTCAACACTACTAAGTGCAACAGGGATCTTGGAGTCCTAGTGGACAACCACTTAAACACAAGTCAGCAGTAGGCTACTGTTGCCAAACAAAACCTGAACAGAATCATAGGCTGCATTAAGAGAGGGATAGAATCAAGATGACATGAAGTGTTAGCACCACTTTATAATGCCTTGCTAAGACCACACTTGGAATATTGCATCCAGTTTTGGTTGCCAGATGTAAAAAAGATTTTGAGACTCTAGAAAGAATGCTGAGAAGAGCAACCAAAATTATTAGTGGACTGGAGGCTAAAACATATAAAGAATGGTTGCTGGAATTGGGTATGTCTATTGTCATGAAAAGAAGGACTAGGGGAGACATGATAGCTGTTCCAAGAAGCAATGGGTGGAAAGTATTCAAGGAGAGAACAAACCTACAAGTAAAGAGAAATTTCCTGACAGGGAGAATAATTAATCAGTGGAATGACTTGCCTCCAGAAATTGTGAATGCCAGAACACTGGAGGTGTTTAAGAAGAAATTGGACAGCCATGTCTTCCTGTCTGAGCAGGGGGTTGGACTAGAAGACCTCCAAGATCCCTACCAACTCTGTTATTCTGTTCCACTCTTCCCAAATTCACAAAGCAAGGATATGCTTGCTTTGTGACACTGTGTGTCACACAAGTCCTAATTTTAGGTGAGAAATTGGAAAAAAATGTGAAAATTGCTTTCACTGAAGAAATATTTGGGGAAGTTTTTTCAAGTTGATTGATTCTGCAGAACTTTCAATGCCTTTCAGTAAAGTAATCCCACTTCTGGATCAACTGATCTATTGCTCTGCCTATCATTGATTGATCTGGTGGTCTGAGCCATTGGCTGAAAGGAAGAAAAGAAAGAAGAGAAAATTCCTTGGGAAAGTCATTTCTCAGCCTTTACAAAACCAGAATGTTTGGAATGGAAATAATTTTGTAGCCCAAAGTACCATGATTACATGTTCAACATGGCCACTCCCTTTGGATTTTAACAGTCTGCTTTATTTTTTAATATGATTTGCTTATTGTTGAACTACAGATTATAAATGAAGCTTTTTAAAAATGGTAATGTGGCAATTTAGTTATTTTTCATTAGCCTTGCACAGTTTCGAATAAAAGAATTACCAAAAAAAAAGGGTCTCTAGCAGTTCCTACTAGTGTGATACATTTACTCCTATTTCTTGAAGATTTTTTAAAAAACTACTTCTTGGTGGAGTACCTAGCAGAACAAGATAACCAGAGGAAGCTATGCTGGTTGACAGCAACTTGAACCTGCTATTCTGCTCTCCACGTTGTGTAAAAACACAAAAACAATCCAGGCCAAACAAGGGAGGAAAATAGTAGGAGGGAATATTCTGCATACCCACTTCACTTCCTGAAGAGAGAAAAGATATTTAATAACTTTTCCCTTTCTTACTTGATTTGGAGGTTCAACCGTTATTTGATCTCCATCATAAAAATCAGAAAGTTTCATTCTTCGTTTGTCTGTAAGGAATAAATAATTTCAAAATGCATATTTAACAAAATAAGAGATACATTACAGAAGAGAGGGTAAGACAGATGGGATCTCTCTGGGAAATCAGAGGATTTTCCATTACCTCCTGAGTTGTCTTGACTTTGACTTTCCCAAGGGATCCTCCCGAAAAATAGTTCCTGGGCGGGATTTGATGGGTTCTTCTTTTCCTCAGGATCTCTGATCTCCACACTGCAGCACTTCAAATAGGAAGAAGGGGGGAAAAGCAGAATTAATGTACATAACACAACACAAAGTGGATTCTTATAGTCAGGACACAACCTCAAAGCTCCCAATCCATGAGGTTCAGTGAGAAAACAATGGAACAATGTCCTACAAGATTTGGTGGGACATCGCCACATATTATGAATGCCCAGGAAGTTTGGGAAGGAGGGGTGAAGTATTCAGACACTTTCTCTATTCCCTTCTGAGCTCCCTTAAGTCTCTCACCTGCAACTGGACCTGCTCCTTCTGCTCCTCCGCCTGGCTCAGGAGGAAGCCTTCTGCAAGGGCCACCGCTTGGGAGCTGCTCTGTGCTCCACACTCCCGCACCCAGCTCTCCATCTCTGGGGGCAGAAGGAATAGGAGATGTTCCAGAACCACCAGGTCCAGCATTTGCTCTTTTGTGTGTTTTTCTGGTCTCAGCCATCGCCTGCAAATGCCATGGAGTCGGCTGCAAAGACCTCGAGGACCTTCAGCCTCCTGGTATTGGATGAAGTTCCAGGGCTGAACTTTGGAAGGGAGGATGGTTTCCTCCTCCAGGATCTTCTGCCCAGTCCTTCTACAGAGTTTCCCAACCTTCCCAGGCTGAGCAGCCGAAGGGCCTTTTTTGCTTCCCTCCTTGGCAAAAGTTTGTGTCTCCATCCTTTCTCTGTCCTGCAGAGCAACTCCAGATGGGTCCAAGGACTCTGGTGGGTCTCCGGATGCCTTTTCCTTCACAGGACCATTTCTGGGACGGATCCCTGCAAGTTATTCAGCTCTTTTTTTCCTCCCCAAGAGAAAAGTTTGCCTTGCAAAGACCACAAATGGCTTCCAGTTTCTGTATCTGAGATGGAAAGAAAAAATAAAGGCCAAGAATTAGAAAGTGGAATTCAGCCACTGAACAATCTTCACCCAACCTGCCCGGAGCCCCCAGTGGGTCATCCCAGCGCAGGGCCGGGAAGGAGGCAGCTGGAGAGGCCGCCCCGCTTCTCTCCCCCTCCGAAGACAGGATCGGGCCCTCTGGGAGCCTGGTGCGAATCCTGCCTCCTCCCCGCCCGGCTTCTCTCCTCTCCTGCTGGGCCTCCGCAAGGATGACCCTCCCCCCACTCGGGCTCTTCCCCGGATCCCCTCCGCCTTCCCGACATCCCCGCTTCTTCCTGCAGAGAGAAGGCGGCTGGGGAACATGGGACACGGGAAGAGCCCCCCCCTCACCAGGGGCACGGCTGGATCTGCCCCCGCAAGACTCTCCCGCAGCCTCTGCGCCTCCTGCGGAGCCCGAGCAATTAAGGAGAGTCCCAGGGGTTAAGGAAAGTGAGTGCGGAGTCCTGGAGCGGCAGGGTTCAGTGACGTCACTTCCTTCTCAGCCTCTTCTGGAAAGTCAGCCACGACGTTCGCCCTCCAGTGGACCAATGGGGAAGTGCCTGGAGCTCCCTTCCCTTGGAAGAGAGCTCCCCCTGGCGGATATGGGGCAAAGTGTTAGGATCGTAGAAAGGGCGGCGCTAGAGACCCTTTTTGGTCCTTATTGTACAATTTTCAAATGTTTACACCTTAATTTAATTTTTAGCCTTGATGTTCATTTTTATACCTTTTTATTTAGGGGTTCTATTGCATTGTCCAGAGCCCTTCTTTGAGGGAGGTTAGGAAACATCAATAAAGATCAGTAAATACAAATGGATAAATGTCGTAGATCTGATAGACTATATAACCATGTAAATCTCAGGGAGAATCCTAGGATGGTAAATGGAAGGGGGTCTCGGCATTCCTCTCCCTGGGAAGCCCCCCTCCCGCACTCCCCTCTCCGGCCAGTCCCAGGGAGCCCCTGGACAACCTCCTAGTTGTCTCAGCAGAAGGAATCCACTTTGGCCTCCTCAAAGTTAAGGAGCTGCTGTTTGCTGTTCAACCTGCCCGCATCCACCTCTCCCAGCTGTGGAGAGGAGGACGGGGAAGGCTGTCAGGAGATACTCCAGGGTCCATTATTCCCAGCCACTAGGAAAGGAGGAGGATCCCACGGAAGAAGGGAGGGTTGCAGAGGACGCCCCATGGAGGAGGGAGAGGGAGCTCTCTCAGTCCTAAGAGAGGAAGGCAGACTTGGGGGGGGGGTCTAGAGGGGGAAGGAAAGAGGGGGAGCGGAGGAGCCTCCCCCATCCTCCCCGGGTGGGAAAAGGCAGGCAGAAGCTCAACTGGTCCAGAAATCCGATTCAGTCTCTGCAGGGAACATTGGATCTCAAGGGGGAGCAATTGGGGGGGCGGCGGCTGAAGAGACTCCCTAAACTTTCTGGGGTGGAAGGGAAGTAATGACATAACGTAAAGTGAGCAAAGAAAGTGGGGATTTCCCTCAACGCCTATCCTGAACCCCCCTTAAGCTGCAGCCCCCCCCAAGACTAAAAGGATTCCCCCCTCCCACTTTCAGTTTCGCTTTGTCCCGAACTCTCTCCCCCTCCATGCGAGG